GATGATCATTTACTGAAAATGCTGAAAAGTTTCTACATCCCCCCAAAATTGCAATTAGGATTTTTATGTTTGCCAATCTCCATATCCACAGGGAGTGAAATTTCTATCTACTCATACAAGTGGTACATACAAAAAAAAAGAGGAAAGTCACAGGTCAGGGAGGTGACACAATGTTCCTTCCTGTGCTTTGAATGTTGTACAGATAATAAATCTTGGGATTGTAAGTAAGTGGTTTACTTGTCTCCTTCCATAACAATCTAATTCACTTCAGAACAGTTGGTGAACAGTCCTTCCCAGTCCCTGAGGCATGAATGTTATTATTTCTGAAATTCTGAAATTGCAGTACTGTCCTGTATAATCATATAATAGCAAAACATAACCCAAGCAGTCAAAATTTTGCTCAAAATGAGGCTTTGCAATTCTAAAGATGTCCAGTCATTAAATACTTTAAAAAAACTGATACTAAGATTCTGTTATTTTTCCTTGACATTTCTTCGGAAGTAAAAAACGGAGGACTTTCTAATTTTGGCATTTCAGTTTGAAGAGCCTTTAAAATGTAAGGTCCCTGTTTTCAAGATGAGCTTGAACACTGATGGACATATCACAAAAACAGAGAATTGATATATGATCTCTCCTTCAAAACATTCAGGTTTCATGATTTTGTTTTATGGTGTAATTTTAGAAGTCTAAGTGATCTACTACTACTTCTGTGGCCACAGTCAGTCAAATAAACTTTTAAGCAGAGCCTTCTAAAAGGTAAAAGTGATCAATTATATAGGAAAATTGCTGGTCAACTTTCCATTTGTCCTGAGATTCCCAGATTTTCAGTCTGGTGACATATATTTCCACACGTATGGACAAGTTTTCATAGAAGCATATAACTTTGTTTTACTTGTAAAGATCAGACTAAAAAAATAAATAAATAAGGCCTTTTTGGTAGATAAAAGAGCTTTCAAACTTACCAGTTGACCTTTGCTAGCTACTAAAGCATTCAGAGGTTACGTTCAACATCTGTTAATTGTAGTCTTGTGCTTGTTGACATCTCTGTGTTGAAACAGAAGACAAATGACAAAATCGGTTTTCTAATCCCTGAATTCCTTCTGGATCATATTGGATAATAAAATCTTGTTTTATAGTGAAAGTGACAGAGCCTAATAAAATAAAGATTTTATGATGATGCCCATTCTGATCCTACAATATCAGAGAGCTAACACTTTTTAAAGTGAAACTTACCTATCTCACGCCTATCTTTTCTCCATTCAGTTTATATTTAAAGATACTTTTATGTGATAGAGCTCTCTTATTGTTTTTGTTTTGCTTTGCTTTGCTTTGTTCAGATAGCACTCAGCAGAGAGGGGAAGAAATTGTGTTTATGACTATTTTTTGGTTTTCAGCAGTTCTGAATGCAAAATGGCTGGGATAGAGAATTTAATTTTGGTATGGAAGTACCCCTCACTGAGAAGTACTTTGAAATATTTTATGAACATTGATTTTGATTTGCTGAATTATGACCCACTGAAAACTGACCTGCAGGCATCCAGAGTGTATTTGGTATGGGTTTTAAATAACTTCTGAGTGACTTCAAGATCAAAGAAAAGTTATGATTTACATACAGACTTAACTACTGAATGTGCAAAGGGAATGTGAGGAGACATGCATTCTTCAAAGGCCCTAACTTACATAGGCAAGCAAGCTTTGGGATTCCTCTTGTTATGCACCTCAATCCTGATTTGCTGAAACTGTTGGCCTTTGGGTGTCAGAACACCGAAATATGTCATTAATTTCAAGTAGGCATGTAAGTTCCATTTAAATAAATCATGGTCAAGTGCTTTTCTGGGACATAATAGTATTAAGTACATTTTTAAGACACTCTCTACATTTTGAGGAAAGTCAAGTATTCTGACATTCTTACAACATTTCTTTTAATAAAGATCTTTGTGCATGACATCCCTTAGAAACATCTATAGATACATATTCTGTCATCATTATAGCTTTCAATCAAAGCTTTCTTACATTACTTCCTCATAGCATTGCTCCGTTATAGTGCAAGCATACTGATAGCAAAGGTCAATTTCAAAGTGTCAGTAAAACAAAGATGACCCACATGGTAGAGGTTAGATGAATTGGCTCTAGCAGTGAAAGTCCAAGTCTCCTTGATCTGTGGTAATGGTGCAAATGAAAGGTGACTGTTTCCTGTGAAGTAATGCTGGATGTTTTGTCTGCTGGGCCGTGGGGGAACATGGGAACCTGAATATCCCTTCCATTATTTCTCACTGGCAGGCCAACTGGGGCAACACTATGGTGGGTGTTTACTGTAGGCCACCAGACTAGGAAGAGAAAGTAGATGAGGTCTTCTACAGGCAGCTGCAAGTAGCCTCATGAGCACGGGCCTTGGTCATTATCGGGGAGTTCAACCACCCTAATGTCTGCTGGGGTGACCACACAGCTAGGAACAGACAGTCCAGGAGGTTCTTGCAAAATATTGCAGATAACTTTTTGATGCAGGTGGTAGATGAGCCAACAAGGGGAGGGGTGCTGCTAGACTTGATACTAACGGAGATGGTTTAGTGGGAAATGTGAAGATTGGGGGCAGTCTTGGCTGTGGTGACCATGAGATGTTGGAATTCACAATCCTGCGAGATCGTGAGCAGCTGGTCAAGAAGTAGTTAAAATTCTGGATTTCAAAAGAGCCAACTTCTTTGACCTCTTCAGGGACCTCCGTGGAGGAATCCTCTGGGCCAGGGCCCTAGAAGGAAAGGGGGTCCAGGAGAGTTGGCTAGTATTCAAACACCACTTTCTCCAAGCTCAGGATTGGTATGTTCCTACAAGAAAGAAGTTGAGCAAGGCTGGTGGCAGGAGAACTGCATGGGATGGACAAGGAGCTCTTGGGAAGACTTAAGGAGAAAAAGAGAGCATACACAATGTGGAAGAAGGACCAGACCACATGGGAAGAATATAGGAACGCTGTCTTAGAATGCAGAGATGCAACGAGGAAGGCCAATGCCCATTTGGAATTAGAGTTAGCAAGAACTGTCAGGAACAACAGGAAGGGCTTCTACAAATAACATCAGCAGCAAGAGGAGGACTAGGGAAAATGTGGGCTCACTGCTGAATGGACTGGATCCCTTGGTGACGGAGGACACAGAGAAGGCAAAGTTACTAAATGCCTTCTTTGCTTCTGTCTTTACTGCTAAGACTAGTCCCCATGAACTACAGAGCCCAGAGACAAGAGAGAGAACCAGGAGAGAGAAGGACTTTCTGCTGGTCCAGGGGGATTGAGTTAGGGATTATTTAGGCAAACTGAACACCCATAAATCTATGGGCCCGGATGGGATGTACCCAAGAGTGCTGAGAGAACTGAAGGGTGTTATTGCTCAGCCGCTCTCCATCATCTTTGAGAGGTCATGGAGAGTGGGGGGGCGTGCCTGAGGACTGGCAGAAACCAATGTCATTCCAGTCTTCAAAAAGAGCAAGAGGGCAAAAAGAGCAAGAGCAACCCCTACGGGCTGGTCAGCCTCACCTCCATCCCTGGACAGGTGATGGAGCAGCTCGTCCTACAGAACATCTCCAGGTATCTCAAGGAAAAGAAGGTGACCAAGAGTAGTCAGCATGGATTCACCAAGGGGAAATCATGTTTGACCAACCTGATAGCCTTATACAGTGAGAAGACTGACCGGATGCATGAGGGGAGAGCCGTCGATCTTGTCTACCTTGATTTCAGCAGGGATTTCAACACCATGTCTCATAACATCCCCCTAGGAAACTCAGAAAGTGTTGGTTAGATGAGTGGACATTGATGTGAGTTAAGGACTGACTGGATGGCAGAGCTCAGAGAGTTGTGATAAATGGGGACGAGCCTAGTTGGAGGCCTGTGGCCAGTGGTGTCCCACAGGGGTCAGTACTGGGCCTGGTGCTGTTCAACTTGTTCATCAATGACTTGGACGAGGGGACAGAGGGCACCTTCAGCAAGTCTGCAGATGACACCAAACTGGGAGCAGTGGCTGATACTCCCAAGGGCTGTGCTGCCATTCAGAGGGACCTAGACAGGATGGAGAGTTGGGCAGAGAGGAACCTAGTGAGGTTCAACAAGGGCAATAACTCCAAGGAATAATCCCAGACACCAGTACAGATTAGGGGTTGACCTGCTGGGAATCAGTTCCATGGAGAGGGATTTGGGAGTCCTGGTTGACAACAAGCAATGTCAGCAATGTGCCCTCGTGGCCAAGAAGGCCAATGGGATCCTGGCCTGCATCAGGAAGAGAGTTGCAAGCAGGTCAAAGGAGGTGATCCTGCCCCTCTCCTCAGCTCTGGTGAGGCCACACCTGGAGTACTGGGTGCAGTTCAGGGCTCCCCAGTGCAAGAGAGACGTGGAGCTTCTAGAGAGGGTCCAGCAGAGAGCAACAGAGATGATTAAGGGACTCGAACATCTATCATCTTACAAGGAAAGACTTTAGCAGGCTGGGCCTGTTTAGCCTTGAGAATAGAAGATTGAGATGGGATCTTATCAACAAGTACAAATACCTGAGGGGAGAATGTAGGGAGGATGAGGTCAAACTCTTCTCGGTGGTGGCCATTGTCAGGGCAAGGGGTAATGGGTACAAGCTGAAACACAGGAAGTTTAATCTCCATGTGAGGAAGAACTTCTTTCCTGTGAGGGTGACAGAGCCCTGGAACAGGCTGCCCAGAGAGGTTGTGGAGTTTCCTTCTCTGGAGACCTTCCAAACCCACCTGACTGCCGCTCTGTGCCACGTGCTCTAGCTATCCCTGCTGGAGCAGGGGAAATTTGACTAGATGATCATAGTGATTCTATGATTTTGTGATTCTGTGAATGCCATTCTGCACATGGAACATGTGCGTTTCTTGAATATTTTTTGTTCTTGTTTCACTGATTGCTATAAACAACTCTTAACTACTACAAAAAGACAGCATTGTTTCAGGTCAAGCTACTGTAGTTCTCCAGGTATTGTAAATTATCTAACAGATATTTTTATATATTTAAGGTGAATTTGGAGAAGTATGCAGTGGACGTCTGAAGACACCAGGAAAGAGAGAGATACCTGTTGCAATTAAAACTCTAAAAGGTGGCTATGTGGACAGACAGAGAAGAGATTTCTTGAGAGAAGCTAGTATCATGGGACAATTTGATCACCCAAATATAATCCGCCTTGAAGGAGTAGTTACAAAAAGTAAGTTACCATTTATAGCTTTTTATTGGTTTTGGTTGGTTGGTTGGTTGGTTTTTTCTCCGTAGCATTTAGGGTCAAAATTAAGAATTACCTCCGTACTCAAGTATGGATAGTAGCGCTCAGAAATGAACCAACTCTGCAAAGACTCTGCGGGTATTGCAGAGTCTGAAACTGTGCTATGAAAAGTGTAGCCTTATTTTTTTATATAAATAAAAATCCTCCACATTGAGAAAAATACCCACAACTATGCAGGTTCTTACCAAATTGCAGGATTTGTTTATGTGCAGATAGAATACAGTAGAGAAACATAAATGAAGCTGAGCTGACAGTGAAGTCAAATCACCTTGTAGAGTTAGAAAGGTAATGACTGTATTGTTCTTTTCCCACAAGAACTCACTTCTAGTTCTGTCATATTTTATGAATACTGGTACCAGAAGGAATTAATTTCTTATTTTACAGAAAAAAAAAAGTTAACTATTTTTTTCTTGTTCACTTGCAAATGATTCACTGAAATTCCAGAATCTGAAATATCTTACTCCTTATACCTGTTCTGGCTGGCAGTCCCTTGTCTCTGAAGTCTATTATTTTTAGCTGAGTTTTGATGAATTTTCCTGAACTGATGAAATATGTAGTGATCATTTAAGTGTTAGGGGAAAGTATTATGAAGATGCATGGAATTTCTTTAATGCCAACTTTGTGCAGTATTGAATTACGAAACTCCCAAGGCATTCTCTTCTCGTAATTAACGCTTGCCTCCACCCAACCATGTTGTCTGCCAATTTTCAGTGCTTTATGTTTCTCTTTTAAAGTGGATTTAGAGCTTGTGGCAAGATACTGTGTTGGTTGTGGAGGACAATGTCATCCTCTTTCTTACCTTCACAAAAGATACAATAAATGTGCTTTGAATGTTTTCTGTTTTCACCTTGTTACAATGCTCAGAGCTATGCTTGGAAAACACAGCCTCCTAGAACAAAGAGGAAATTGTAGTTCCTGAACTCAAGTCATTGGAACAGAATTTCAATACATACTGGATGACCTTGTGCAAATCGATTTATCTATTATACTAAATTAAGATAAAGACAATCAAAATCTTTTTTACTTCATACAGTATTGCAAGGATAAATATTTGGGAGTGTTTGATGATAAGAGATTCATTACATTACGACCTTCTGGAAAGAAGTGGTTTAGTCTGCATTGTCCTCCAGTCAGTGACTGCTCTGCTGACCATGAACAACACAAGTTATCAGTGGCCGAGCAGCACTCGATATCTTTCTTAGAGACGTAAACATGTAGGAACTTAATTTAAATCAGCTTCTTGCTTCATAATGAGCAGTCTAACAACAAGTAACTTCCACCAGTCTTCACCAGTCTGAGCGGTTTATGTACCAGTATCACAAATAAAATGAGAATCCATGTCATGTTTTGCTGCTTGATCTAATAGTGTGTCTCATTTCTGGAAATGGCTAGAGGCTGTGATTTACGAACATTGTTTAAATCCAATTAGATGGTGCATAGAATACAGTATAATGTACTTGGCAATGGCATGATTGTTTAATCTTTGCCACATTTATAAATTTTCTTTCTGTAACATCTCATCATCAGTCTAGAAAGAAATGAAGTATGCATTAAGAAAACAGAAACAAACAGATAAATCAGTGCTCCAACGTTAGATTGTTTGTTTCTGTTCTACAGGAAAGTGGTTATAGACAACCTTAAGTCAAGGAGTCATCGTTAGTTGTTGTGCCTTTTTCTAAGGAGTCAACACACTTCAGAATTGTTTTGGAATGTTTGCTGAGAGGTAATATAAGAATAGCAGATGTTACAGTGATAGTTACACATTCCTATAAAGATATGTATCATACCAGTTGTAAAATAAATAGAAAAAGTAGAAGAGCAATGCGGTTTGGGGCAGAGAGGTAAAATTTTAAAACTGCACACCAATAGTTATAGAATGAAAAGAGTACATGGATTAGCAGTAAGTTTTACCCCAAGGCCTGTCAAGTGCACATTTTATAAAGTAAACTACGAAGGTGGGCAGTGTAGAGCAGAGAAAACGCCAGGAAGCAGGTTAAACATGTGGCACGTGTGTTCTGCTGCATTCATCTTTTGCCACTTTATCTTACAATGTTGCTTTACTTCTCTACTCCTCCCTCCGTGGTTTTCATTTTCATGGCTTCAGCTGGGGGCAGAATAGCTACCTTGCATTTTTCCTACATGCAGGATCTTGAATTGCCCAGGCCAAACAGGGACAGAAAATTCCTATGAATAAAAAGTGTTCTATAAAGTCGGACAGAACCTTGTTCTAGCCAACTTATTTATGTAATGATAGCACCATTAAGAGGTGTTTTCTATTAAAAGATTGTCAATGGCAAAAACTATTTATCTGCTGTGCATTACAGTTCCAGTAACCTATAAAGGCATATCAGATGCAGTAAATTTGATTAATAGAAGAGTAATGATGTTTTTAGCACATGCTTTCCTATATATAATCATCAGTCATGAAGTTCTAGCAGGTGTTAATATATATTGCAGTTTGTAAGCAGTACCTTCCATTACAATGTTATTGGCTATTGAACAGAAAAAGAGAAAGGATTTGATTGTAATAAGCAGAAGAGCTCTACCAAGTCGATAGCTATTGACTGGGGCAATAACAAATTCCCCAGTACATTAAAAATGAGAGCTTTTATCTGGTACTACTAGCTAAGCAGATGTTAATGTTTATGTGATACTCTTTCCAAAATTGCTGCAGAATATGTACTGTACAGGCTGAAAAATGCTAGACTAAAACTGCTCTAAGGTAGATCTTCAGCAGAGGTTTGATTCTCTTTTCTGTTTGCTTCCTTTCTCATTTGTCCAAACTGCAACTGCTAGTCACAGAGTGGCTGGGCAGAACAGTTGCAGCAGCCCAAGCTTTCTGTTACCAGAGAGCTCATTTCAAGGGCAATTTGCCAGGCCTAGACAAACACACCAGAGCACAGAATCCAGATCCAATAGTTCATGTATATTGCTAATCAGAAGTCACAAAGGAAACTTTGTTCCTTCTTGTTTCTTGTTTTGTTTTAGCAACACCATTCCTTATGGGGTTTACCATAAAAGGCCGCTTATTGCGTCGCGAGGTAGTTGGTGAGATATGCTTATTCACTATATATATGTATATATATATATATATGTATATATATATAAAGTCTCTTTCAAATCATATTAGCACAGTGATAACTTTGGGAGCTCTTTTTGGGCGTCTCAGGGCATGCCAGATGAGTTGTGTATCATTAGCCAAAGTGGTCCTGTTTCATAAGTAGGCTTAAGAAAAGTAAAACTTCTTTCTCAGCATAAACATCTGTAGCCAGTGCCAAGACCTGAGCCATATAGACATAAGACATGTCTTCCACTTCTCTATTATGTGTCTGTATCGCAGATCTTCTGAGCAAAGTCTGTGAAGGAAATTAAAGCTATGCTTACAAATACTTCTAACAACATAATTAAGTCAAGAGGGGATAGGAAAAAAAAATGTGATCTCTGACTGATATAACTGTAGTGGAACTGTACTGTACTGTATTGTATCCATTGGTATGGATACAGTTACACTAGGCAAACTGGAACCTGTAGTAAGTTTAGTTTGATGATATCTTTTTCAATGGTTTAAAGTATAGCCTTATCAACACAGCCTACTAGTGTATCAGTATAAAATATAAAGGCATGTAAGTGCTCAATTGTAATTATCATCTTATTTGCCCCGCCCCCAATGTTTCCCTAAAGAACTTTCACTTGCTAAGCCTAAGCAATCTGAAAAGGCAAAAAAAAAATTCTAGTATTGATTATTCTGATATTGATTATAACTGACTCCATAACCAGTTTAGCATCTTGACATTTACATCTCAGTAATGTTTGTTAGTGCATCATTGAAACATCACTAGCATCTCTAGGCATGGATTTGCTTGTTGGAGGCTAAAATGGCTTCAGATGCTGGCTATGAACCTGCCTTTTGCACTGGCAGACACTTGCACCTGCCTTAGGTGACACAGCAGGGTGTCAAGGCATCCTTCACCCCTGAATATCTTCCGTTTTGCACATTGACAGTACATGGTGTCAGAGAGTGACTGTGAGAATAAAAATTCCTTGTATTAATCAAGGAATTCATTTTAATGGCATTAAATGTTGAATGTTAAATTTGGCAAAGTTAGGTATGGCTCACTGTCTGTATTTTTGTGTGTCCTGTTTTGTTCATGTAATGTGTAGAGGAGGCACTTAGGGACATGGTTTAGCAGGCACGGCGTTGAGGGGTTTACGAGTGAACTCAGTGATCTTGGAGGTCTTTTCCAACCGTAACGATTCTGTGATTCTATAGGTAAGTATCACAATGCAGTGCTGAGCTGAGTTGTTGCCGTAGCCAAATTAATGCAGAAAAAGCAACCACCACAACCACCAGTGTGGACCAAATTTACTAGACATATCTATTAACATATAAACCAAAATAAAGAGCTGAAAGTTAGAGTTGTGGATGTGACAGCTGTCACAAAGAAGCAAAATGAGTATCCGTAGCCTGCTTCCAAAATAGGTTATACTTGCACATAGTTAGAAGAAGTTAGTTTCTAAACATTTGTAAAATTAATGTCTTCTTCACTCATTACAATGTGAGAACTTCTGGATGAGAATCCAAGGGCCATTGAGACATCCTGTAGTTGGAATCAGCCGTGTTCTTGTGCTCTGCTTGTCTGTTTTGCAGCTGGTGAGCACTGCGTTACAACTGTCAACTCTGCTGTATCTTGCACAGGGTGAAGACAAAGCATTATTGTCAAGCAGTCACACAGCTAACATCTGGTTAGCGGCAACTTAATCTGAACATGAAACAATATCTAACATAACTAAACTAAAATTAAACTATAAGCATAGCTAAAATATCTAACATAACTAAACATAACTAAACTTTGTAGGATATGTCTAAGAACTGAATTTTCAGTTTTGGCAGGATCCTTTTCCTTTTAGATGGCTGTATTCAGACA